AAGCTTTCCGACCTCTGTATAGAGCTAAAACGGGACGGTCTAGACACGTACGGCTTAGCACGCTAGCCACAGCTGAGGCAGTTTCCATTCGTCTTCACAACCCCCCTCTGTGTGCTCAGGAACAATTTGTGCAAGCACTCAAGCTACCATGACCGGGATCCCGGCAACTGACCTGTCATGAAACATCGGAGCACATGATAATTGGGGACCAATTATGACACAAACTGTTGAGTACTTTATTTACTTTCCCCTTTTCTTTCGTTGTAAATCCTTCTCTGTTACTATAGTCATATTTATTGTGTTGTAATGGCGTGATTAAAACACACTGAAAACGAGCTTGTCTGCAAGTTTGTGTTCTCATATATTGTGACGAAAATATACTTTCTGGGTACAAGCATATGAATGAACTGACAAAAAGATTACCGGATACGCATGCCTGACGAGCGGCAAGAACCGCAAAACCGGTCTTTTGCTTCCAGGGACATTTGGTCCAGTCATTCACATACTACTAGTAATACTGATAATAAATTACCCTGACTGGCTCTTCAAGAGACACTTCTCGCTTTCATCTTATGATAACTTAAAATTAAGGGGTTCGGCGGTAACCAATCAATTCGAACAGCAAAGATGAGAGGAACAATGTGAAATGCAATGGAATAAAATGATGTTTTTAGAAACGATAGATATTTTACAATGAGATTAGAAGTAAATTAAACTTGAAGAGCTCAAAGAAAACGATCAGATTGTTTCACCAACCTCTAAATGTGTGAATCATGTAAAAAACACTCAAATAGTGTAGATTTCGAAAAGCAAAAGGAACATACTCTTGGCACGAGGACGTAGTGGATTAGCACATACGACTACAATAAGAATTTAAGCCCAGTTAATATTAAAAAGAACGCAAATATAAAAACCGATAAGCACGATATTACAGTTACAAATTTCTCAAGCCTAATCCAAAGTGTGAATCCGTCGACTTGACTGACGATCTCATGGTAGAGCGTAATCGCAATACGCAATTAATCAACTACCGGGCAACCGACTGGTCATAAGTATACTGTGTCTACATATATAATGTTTGTCTTCTGCAGTAGCTGGTATGGTACGAATGTGTAGCGTGTTGCCTTTCATCAAACGATCTCAACAATTGTAAGAAGAAAACACAATAACGAACGGGCTCGTTTGCCGCTAAAGGTCAATACATCACAATTTATGTCAAACTTCGCAGCCGTTTATTTAAGCTGATTAGGAGTGACATTCGGGCCACAGCAGAAGCGATAAACCCCCCATGCTCGAAAAGATTCTTAAGCAAATTAGGTCTTGCTTAGTCAACACACACGACACAGTTATCCCCTCCCCCCGACCCCTCGAACCAATGCGTATGTATGACGACCAAAGTGTGAGCAACACCCGGACATGGAACTGTATCGTTGATTATTTATCTTCCCATTTTATCGTTCCCCCCCCCCTGATATTTTTTGACATAATTATTGATCTATTAGCTTGTAGATGGATCACGGCAAACGAGCGTCTTCGTTACCGTGTGTCCTTACTTTTATATCCCGTATAAGTCAATAGGTACGCAAATAGTGAATTAAGTAGTTATTCTATTTCCAGTATGTAAATGCAAACGTAGCCGTTCGTAAGCTGGTAAGCAATCGGTGCGTCAACACGCAGGCAGTCAGGCCCAAACTGGCGCAAGTGTTACCAAAAGGAGTATGTCATCACGTTGGGCAGTCAACGAACCAATCAATGCGGACAGGTCAATACTGACCTCTGATTCGCTGAGGCGGATTGACCTTGTAACAGAGTAAGTCCGCATGAGGTGCGTAAGTGCGTGTGGTGGCGGGCCGCAACGGTCAATCACGTGATGGGCAAATCACTCGACTGCAGGCCGCAACACTTGCATATTGATGATTTATTCGGACAATTGAAATGAGCTCAACAATGTTAATGTTCTACTCCACTGGAATCCTTGCAAAAACTCGTGAGTTGAACTTTTAGAAAGTCTGCGAGTGGCTTCAATAGGCCAGTTAATCCTGTAAGCGGATACTTGAACTTCGGTATACCAACAGTACAACACAGAGTAAGTTTCAAAATGAACTAGTTTGGCTGTGACAGTCAACCTGTTCTCAAAAATTTTCATATGGCTATAACTAGGTAAACTGTCAAGAACAGCCAAAGAAACTCACTGTTTCCAGTGAAACGAAATTTGATTCAGATCTGGATCTGGCAAATTGACGCAAGTTTTCAACTAGTCACAATCTCGAATGTCTTGGAGGTGCCATGATAAAACTTGAATAATATTTGACTGGAAATGATTGTCTCTAATTTTATTATAATCACTAGAGTGAATTTTCCGTTAACTGCTTGAAATGGATATAATACTGAAGTGCTAATTACTTTGTTTAGATGTGCCATGGATTTTTAGTGAATGATGTCAGAATTAGAAACTCTGTA